ACAAGATAGCAATTCAACAATAGTTGTTATACTGCACATTACTGTCTTCAAATAGATGAAAAAGTGTTCAACAGCACTGGTCATTCAAGAAACACAAATTAAAATAACACTGAAATTTTATCTCACCCCACAAAAAGTGGCTATCATAAAAAAAAATCAACTAATAACAAATGCTGGAGAAGCTATGGGCAAAAAAGAACCCTTCTCCACTGTTGGTGGCAATGTAGACTGGTGCAAGCACTGTGGAAATCCGTGTGGCGATTCCTCAAAAAACTAGGATGAGAGGTCCCATTCCACCCAGCTATTTCTTCCTGGGTATTTTTCCAAAAGAACTGAAAACATCATACCACAGATATATGTGCACACATTCTTGGAAACAACCCAAATGCCTATTAACCGAGGAATGGATAAAAAAGATGTATTTTTATACAATGGAGTACTACGTAGCTATAGAAAAATTTGAGGCTTTTATAGGTAAATGGAATGTCTTTTAAAGAGAGGTTCTTGTGTACCTGTGGCCGCTCAGTCTGCACCCGACGAAGGCAGTCTGCACCATAGATAACTGTATTCTCAGGGATGACTTCAAAAGTGTTCAGGTTGCAACAAGCCCCAATGATGCAACCACTGGTCAGTATTACATTTCTGCCTACATATGCTGTAGCAAAAACCAAGGGAGAATTGCAATTTAAGACACTGTGACTGCAGTACTTTCTTCCCCAGTGACAGAAGTATAAAGGCAAATTGGCCTTAAGGAAGAAATGAAAGACTTCAGAGCTTGTATAGACAGTGCAGATATAGGCAGCATGTGCAAGTGTCAGATGCATGCAGAACAGCTCTGCTTACTCGGGGAGCTGTGCAGCCTTGGGCAAGCTGCTGTAATCTCTGAGCTTAACTTTATAATATGGAGAGACTGTCCTACTTCCCATGTTACTTTTTGCTGTTGTAATACTTTTCAAAGCGAGGTCCCTAGTTCAGTAGCTTCACTTCAGAGTTTGAAGGACCAATGAGAAGACAAATGTAAGGTACTGAGGGTGGGTCTGACTGAGAGTAAGCAGACACTAAGCAGAAAATGACAGTGGTGTAGATAATAACCGGCAACCCAAAGTCAAATTAAAACCACTGAACAGGCTAACAAGAAGCACAGTTTTATTATTCAACAAAAAAGACTCTTTCATGCCAATCAGGTCCAAGACAGACAAACACTGGCATAAGAAAGCATCATGGCTTAGGTTCTTTCTGTGTCTTTGTGGGACCAGCTCCTAAAGCTGGTTCCCACCAGTGCTGGTGACTTGTCATAAGCCCCTGCCTGGCCCCACTTTCTGTAGTAGATGACATTTGTTTCTGATTGGCTAAACTAAAGTGGTCATGAAATTAAAGAAAGCAAACTGCTTGAGGAATTGATTTTTCCTCCTTAATTCTACAGTAACACTAATCAACTAAAACATTACCAACACTAGTATTTAGTAGAAATCTTTTTAAAATCTTTCCAAGGAATTTTATGTTTAATCTAATCCAAACCTAAATGTACACAGCTGACTTTGTAATTTAATGTATTTAACCACATTATCAGATAACCACATAACCAGATTAGGTTCTTTTGAAGCAAGGAATTAGTCTGACAAGGATTTCAGTCCTTGTCACAGTCTGAACTCAGGCTGTTTCCCACAGCTAGACCAAGAGGAAGGGGGGAATTAATTCGACAATAAAATACAACTTACCTTTTGACTCAATGACATTATTATCTCCCATTTTCATGGCTTGGGAATCTGTAAGCTGGGGTTAAGTAAATACTGTAAGCATATTCACCCTTTCCCCTTGCCAATACCCTGTGTCCTCACACTGCAATGGGACATGGAGGCATGGGTTAGAAGGCCTACGCAGTCTGCCTGTGACAGAATTCTTTGCTCAGGGCAAAGAATTGTTCAATTCTAATCTTTGACCACAAATATCTTTCACTATAAGTAAACGAGTGCACTTTTTTAAAGAAATGAGTACCATATGCCCCGATTTTGAGTATATTTTCACAGGTTTTATTTTTTGAGATAGTTTCACTGTATCATTCAGGCTGCCCTCAGACTCACCATGGAGCCCAGACTAGCCTCAAACTGCAATTTTCCTGCCTCAGCTTCTGGAGTGCTGGGATTAGAGGCATGTATCACACCAAGCCTGTTCTACGATTATTCTTAAAAAACCAGAAGTAGCCATTACCCAATCACTTAAAACAGTTAACAGTGTTATAGATTGGTTGGTTTCTTTCTTTCTTTTTGCAGTAGTGGAGATTAAACCCAGGGCCTTCATGCTAAACTACATCCTCAGCCATTTAAAATTTTGAGACAGGGTTGCATTAAGTCACTCAATTGCACAGGCAGGGCTTAAATTTACAATTCTTCTGCCTCAGCTTCCTAGAGTGCTGGGATTATAGGCAATGTGCCACCACACCTGGCTAATATTTACTGATATCTCAAAAAGGCATTACCATCATTTCAGAGTACAAAATCAAGCAAAGGCACTGGTGACACCCTCAAAGAACATCTAAACAATAAAATATTTTCACCCCTGCCCACGATTTTCTTAAATTAGACCATACCCTATTTTTGACCTAAATGATATAGAAACAAAACTGACAAAAGATATGGTTCTTAATTAGGATAGAAGCCAAAATTACTGTTTCTGCTGCCACTCAGCCATTGCTACTAGTCAACAAGTAGTTCCAACAAAAATCAAGGTAGGAGCTAACTAGGAACAGCTAGAGAGATAAGGGACAGTCCATCTTGAAGCCCAGTTTCTGGGCTAGATTCACTTTCTGAGTTAAGTTTTAACCCAGACCAAATACAAGATATCCCAGTCTAAATACAAAAGAAAAGAATCAGGGCGCTGGCTCATACACAGAAGTCTCCAGCATATGCAGTGGTCTTCAGCAACAGCCCTCTCACCCTGCTCCAACCTCCTCTACGCCCAACCACTAAGGGCTCTGGGGTGGTAACAGTTCCTCCCAGGGCTATTAAATGTCAACCCACCTCCACACCCTCCAATATCACAGACACACCTAAAGAGCAGAGTCAAGCTGCTCACTGCAGTAAAAGCTCAGATCAACCCTCCAATACCAACCCAACACTCTAATGGTTGGCTCAACACACCTCCTTGGGACCATGAGTTCTTCTCACTGGCCAGGTCTCATTCAGTGGAGTATATTTTCACTTTCATTAATCTTTCATCTTGTTTTTAAGAACCTGTACAAGACCCCTGGTCCAGTAACAAGATGACTCTCACAAAGCAAAGCTAATGGAGTGTGCTTGTGTGTAGGGCAATGGCATACAGTAGCTACAGAAGTCTATGGAACTGGTCACCAGAACAGGACAGAATTTCCTTTCTTTGTTGTGATGCTGGGGACCAAATCCAGGCCTTACACCTGTTAGGTGTATTCTGAGCTACAAATCTCAGATATGAGTCTTTTTTTTTTTATGTACTGCAAACAAGTCTGTTAAAACAGTAGGATGGCCTAGTCTTATAAATTATGACAGTTTCTATGGGGGAAATGTGCATACCAGTTGCATTCTCTTAATGAATAGAATGATTTGTTCTAATGGTGTTTGTAAATAGGATCACAAGTTCGCATCTTGTACAGCAATTAACCACTAAGAAGAATATATGCAGTGTATTATTTGTTGAACCTGTACTTCCGATTTGATTTGAAACTGTCTCATTGCTATCTGTTTATCAATAAAACTTTGAAAAAAAAAAAAAAAGAAATGTGCATACCAAAGAATATCTAGGAATGAACTTTGGTACATTATAATTATAAAGGATACAACAGCCAACTTCAAACACATTATTGGTGCCGATGATCATGGGTTTGGGTTCTGGATCTTCAGTGTCAGGGGTGATGTTGTCTGGGTAACTATAAAACAAGAGACAAAACATCAAAAAGCCAGCAACACACAAAAAGCAATTTTTCTTCCTCTTATTTTAGAATTTAATTCCTTCAGTTTTACCTGCCTAAAATATATAACCATGTTAGTTACCGCTTGGCCTAAAGGAATCATTTCTCCTCTGCTTTAGAGAAAGTCAGCAGAACTACTCAAATGTAAGGAAGTCAGATCCTGAAGCAGAGGAGCACAGTCTTCTCAGGCACAAGGCAGAAAAATGCTGGCTACATTTTTATTTTCAACCTGCTAAAATGGAGTCATAATCATGCCTAACTTGAACATTTTCCATCCTAAATAATCATTTGAGATTGTGAAATGTAAACAGATATTCCCATAAAATAATTATTTTATGGTATCTGATAGTTAGTTGAAATATGTGGAAGATAAAATGTGTTCTCAAAGGAGGAAGCTGGTTTAGATGGTGTTTTATCTGTGACAGTTGAGTTACTGCAGAATATCGGAGTGGTAGATTGACTGGTGCTAAAGGTGCCAAATGTATTTTAGCACATGTGCTGCCGAAATGAATACATGCCAAATGCATTTTAAAGAGAAACTGCTTAATATAGTAAGAAACTCCCAAATTCTAAGTAAGCCTTCAGACAAATTAGTCTTTTTATCACTGTTAAATATTTTCCCAAGGTCTTTATACAGATTCCACACATTGCTGCTATAAATTAGGTATAGGCTTGAACTTCTTGCCAAAATTTTATCTAGAAAGACTTACTAATACTTAGGAAAATTTCATGGATATTATGGTCTAGTTCACTACAATCTCATACATGTTCTGATAAGTTATTATTATTATTGCAGAATGAGTCCAGCGTCATTGCACTGACTTATATCCCTGTCCTTTTTAATTATTTCTTCATTTTGAGATAGGGTCTCACTAAATTGCAAAGTTGCCTGGGCTGGGCTTGAACTTGTGATCTTCTTGCCTCAGTGTCCCAGAGTTCTGGGATTACAGGTATGTGCCATCATGCCTGGGTTCTTTTTATCATTAAAGCTTAAAAATTGTCTCTAGGATCCTAGATTTTTCAACTATAATTCTGGATTGTACCTATGCAAAATGTGTGAAAATGGAGTTAACTTCTAATGTCCAGATATGAGTAATAACATTTCAGCCATAATCAAGAAATTCCAGCTGAAAATGCTCTTTAGGTGGTCAGCATTGCACTTGGAGATGGCAGGTGCTCAGGAAACATCTGTTTACGCGAAGACTGAGAAAGCATCACAAAAGGTGAAGATTACCAAACCCCAGGTGGAGTCTACTCAGCCACCAAAGAGTGCTGAACTTGGACAATTCATTTCTGCTATCTGGTGTTTGGATTCCCCACAGCAGCTGAAGCTGATGAAAAATGTTACCTGTGGTGCTCAGTTCAAAGTATGAATATGAGTCTTACTCACGAATTTATGATCAGGGCCTGTTCTTCTATTAGGTTACCTTCGCCAATCACTATTGGCCCAGCTTCTGCAATAATTCGTGCTTTAGGGTGGATCACTGTCCTAGGTCCTGTTACAAAATTTGAGAAGAAATTATCAGTAGAGGCTATGTATCCAACAGGAGAGTGGGATATGATCAAGGGTGGATGAGGCTGTTCAGAGGAACATTTTCTAAATATGTGCCCTGAACTCATATGGGAGGGACTTTGCTGATATGCTCTCCTTAGATACTATCATCGGTTGTTGAACTAAGGCGAGTGAAAAGGTTCAGGATTGGAGCCAGACATTTCTGGCCCAGTCTCCAGCTCAAAGCTTCACTGATCTCAGCAGTGAATCTCAGATGATGAGAACACTAATCCTTCAGGGTTGTTGTAAAGGTTGGCATGAGATAATGTTGAAAGCAGGGAAAGTGGCACATAGTTGGTTACAAAATTGTATTCTCTTCCCTTCACTCAGAAAGGTAAAGTTTTCTTCTACAATATACTCTGGTTTTTTTTTTTTTTTTTTTTCTCTTACAGTGGTACTACAGGTTGAACACAGGGCCTTCATGTTAAGATATCCCCAGCCCTTTTTCTACATTTTATTTTGAAACAGGGTCTAAGTCACTAAATCTTCCAAGCTGGGTTTGAATTTATGATTCTCCTGTCTCAACCTCTTGGGAATGTTGGTATTATAGACACTGACCATGCTCAGCCGATTCATCTTTTTACTACTCCATGATAAAAAGTATGGGTGAATACAAGTCAGAAAATATGGATTATAATCTTAGTTTTGTTCCTCTGTCATGATCCCTAATATAAGCATTCTTCCTAGAAGGAAGCAGAGTTTCTGTCATCTGGTCTAGAATATGATTTTTACCAGTTAAAGTGGAAAAGGTGAAAAGCAGACAGTAGAAGGAGGCACTGAGGTCCTCAGACTCTGGTGCAAGAAGAACTGAGGCAACACAGCCAGGCTGAAAGCTACTTAAGCAAGGAGACTTGATGACCTGGAGGCCCAGCAGGATGGTGGAGGCCCTGCTCTGCCTCACCAGGGTTGGGGCTCTGGAATGCTAGCACATTCCCTCCCCCTTCCCGCTCTTATCTCCCACAGGCCTCCAGTCTTGGCGGTAATGAAACTGATGAGAAAACATATCCTCCTTTTAGTCTGTCTCCAACACCTGGCCCATTCACCCCCAACATCAAGCTATTTTCTATTGGTAAACAAGTGGACAGGAAATAACTGATTCTGAAAGTAAGAGAGGTGGACAAGAGGGTTAAGAGGGTGGGAAAGGGATCAGGAAGGTAACATCACCCCTAAAATTGAATATTCAGTTGTTTGAATTGTTAATTTATTCAAAACTCATTGTTTTTGACAGGTGAGGTACAGCAACATTCTATGTGATCAGCAAACAAAACAACAAAATCCACATTTAGTCTGTGCCTCTTTGAGCTTGTTCTCAAAAAGTATTTATTCACAAATGTAATTTATTCCATTGTTCAGAGACCTGGAACCTCAGTGCAACAATTTCCTGACAACGGATGTGATATGGGGGGGCCCAAAACAGGATGCTCTGACCAAAACTGTTGCGAGCAGCCTGATGCTTTTGTTATCTCTGGCTCTCCAAATCTCTAGCTGCTGAAAAAATTTTCACAGACAAATATTTCTATTTAGGATAGAAGATAGGTTTTCGAGTCCCAGCCCAGGCGCAGCGTGGGCCGGACCCTCTCCCAGCCCCTCGGGCCGCCCCCCACCACTCTGCAGTGCCTCCCCCACCCCGCCCGCCGAGTAGG